CAACTCTACGATAAAACGTTGGCAGGTGTATACGGGAAGAGAAGCTATTCTTTCCAACTCTGGTAAACTATTCTTTCCAACTCTGGTAAAACTTTTGCACAGATTCAAGAAAAAAACTCATAAGAAAAGTGGAAAGAGAAAAGATTACGCAGACAGAATGGGCAAAAGAACAAGGATTTTCCAAGCAGTATGTCTGTTATTTAGTAAAACAGGGGATTGTAGAACTTAAGGATGGTATGATTGATAGAGAGCAGGCAAATGAAGCAATAGAAGTTATACGAGATCCAAGTCAACCACAAAGAAGAAAGAACGGTGAAGCTAATGAACTCTCTACTATGCTACTTAAAACTCGTATCAAGAATGAAATAGAACGGGGGAAATTGCTAGAAGCCAAAGCAAAAGCTGAAATAGGTGAATTAGTGCCGATAGAAGAAGTAAAAACCGAAGCTTTTAACGCAGCAAGAGTAGTGAGAAATAACCTTCTTAATATTCCAGATAGAGTATCAGCACTACTTGCATCGATGAGTGATGCGGAAAAGATTCATGAACTACTATCGCAGGAAATAACAACAGCATTGGAGGAGTTAGCAATGCAGCAAGGAGAAAAAAATGACTGATTCACTAAAAAGTAAGCAAATATATTTAGAGTTCATAGGATGTTTAATAAGCCAATCTAACATTGACATTAATAAACGTGGAATAAATGGAAAAACCCCACTACATTGCGCTATAGAACTCGATGAGTTGAGCTTAGTTGATCTTTTGCTGAGTAAGAGAAGCATAAATCCGCTGATAACTGACAATGAAAACAAAAGTGCTCTGGATTATGCAAAAGATAATAGAGTATTACAGGTGCTAATCAACCATAAATACGGGTTAGAGAAAGACAGCTTACTTCACTTAGCTGCAATATTAAACGAAGAAAATGCAGTAAGGTTTTTAATAAACAAAGGTATTAACGTCAACGAGCAAAATGCTTTACTACATACCCCATTGCACTTAGCAGCAGGAGCAGGACATGAGAAAATCATAGAAATTTTAGTCAAGGAAGGAAGCGCAAATAAGGACGTTTTAGATATCAGAAACCATACACCACTGCACTATGCGGTAAATAACAAGAGATTAGGAGCAGTAAAATTACTATCAGACCTAGGAGCAAGCAGCAATACAGTTGGTCACGGAAAAGGTTCAATGAAATTATCTCCTGTGCATGTTGCAGTAAGCAGTAGTAATTATGATGAAAGAGATCTGTGCCTTGATATAGTAAGATGTTTAATAAATGCGCCAAACTCTCAAATCAACTTACAAGACTATGAAAAGAAGACACCACTACACTACGCTGAAAGGGTAAAGAATGTAGAAGCACTACTTGCCAGAAAAGATATAGAATGGCCACCTTAATGCAGTCAAATTATTGTTAAAGAAAGGAGCAGATGCTACTGACATTTTTCAGCATGCAATGATAACAAACAATGAAAAACTGATCAAATTGTTAGGGAGAAAAAGGGATATAGTTTTATTTGGAAAAAATGATAACTTTCCGACGTTTCATATGCTGAGTAATAAATATCTAGAAGAAAGGAAAATTGCCGATAGCAGGATAAAAAAATACAACCATGTGACCTATATCAGTGTTGCAGTATGTGCAATAGCATTAATCACAATTTATCCTCAGATGATAGTTGCAATAGTGGTAGGAGTATTTGCACTCACAATAATGATAGTAATGAGTGGCATAACTCAGAAGTACATAGAAGAAGAACTGCAAAAAAAAATGTCAATTGAGTTAGAAAGTGAAAGAGAGAGTCAAACTACATCAAGTAATGTTGAAATACAAAGTGAGGAGGAGGAAGATTTTGTAGACCACAAGATAGAAGAACCTGTCTTGTCCAGAGCAAGCAATGAACAATCAATAACG